TTTCTTTTGCTTCCCTTCAAGCAGTCTAGTGGCTGCATTTTGAACCAACTGAAGATGAGAAATGGAATATGAAATATTTTTTTTTTTTTTTTTTTTCAGTTTTATTTTCAGATTCCATTTTAATGGTTGAATAAAATTTTTGTAATCAAAAAGCATGTCTAATTAATTGTTATGAAATTAAATGACAATTTATTGAATGTTTCACAAACATTCCATTTTTAGAGCCCTATGAAATACGTTCTATTTTTCCCCAAATTCTTTTTTTTAATAAAACGGATAGTTCCGGTCCTTGATTCTGATTGGTTGAGCCGCGTTCGAAGCTGTTGTAAATTACTCTACAAACATACACCTTTGTTTACTTCTGTGTGTTGCTCGGCAACTACTTTGTTGTAACCACAACTGTTTCTGAGGAACTGCATTGTTTGGTGGAAGAATACTGTTATTATTATCATTACACTTTATTTGCTCGGTTTTATTTTGTGAAACCTTACTACGTATATGGAATAACCGTTTTATAAAAGCAATAAGCCCCGTGAAGCCGTGGTTTACAGTGAATTTATAACAGCTAAGGGTGGTTTAGGCACTCCGCTTCACGTTGTACCTAACAACGCCCCTTAGCTGTTATAAATTCACTGTAAACCACAGCTTCACGGGGCTTATTGCTTTATTTTACCATTTCAATTTTTTTTTATTTTAATAGCAGAATTAAATTTTAGTAACCAAAAGAAAAAAAAGAAAATAAAATGTCTAATTAATTGTAATCAGAAAGTATACAGAATTTACGTTTAACAAACTAATCTTATGGAAATATGTTGTCCACCCCCCCGCCCCAAATTCAGTGTTTTTCATTTAAATTTTTCTGGAATCTGTTTTAATGTTCAATAATTAAAAAGCATGTCTAATCAAGTGAATTTAGAAAAACGTAACAACTTAATTTATTAAATTTTTTACAAAAATAGGGCCCTATGAAACGTTTTATTTTTCAGTCATTTTGTGTTGTTTGTTTTCAAGTTTTTTATGGATTGAATACAATTAAATTTTTTTTATAAAAAATGGTGGTAATCAAACAAAGGCTTAAAAAACAATTTAGTTAATCTTTTAAAATGTATTCAAATCAAAATGTAACAATTCCTTTTATTTCTGGAAAACTTCCTAAGTTTTGAAATCAAATTTAGGAAGAAACAAAATTAAGATATTCCTTAAAAACACATTTTCAGTAACTTATTATTAGCTTATGTTTACTACTTCCTAAAAGCATGCCACATATAGATATAAAAAATTATATAATAAAAAGCTGAAAAAGTCTTTCAACAAAAATATGATAGTATTCTTTCAGCTTTGAAACTCTCCTAAATGTGTTTAGTGTTTTGAATGAAGGATTTCCTGCAGCATCTGACAGCGTGTTCCTGTGGTTTCCTCACCATGTTGTACCAGGCTGAGATGATGAGCTTCTCCTCCTGGTCGTGTCTGGAGCGCGTCCTCTCGAAATCATGCTGAACACACAGAGACGAGCGTGAGATCATCACCACCACACGAACAGCAGTCTGTCTGTGTGTGTGTGTGTCTGACCTCCAGGTGCTGTATCTTCCTGTCCTTCTCCGTCAGCTGGTTCTTCAGCACCTGGACTTCAGCAGGAACTGCGCTGGACTTCTGCTTGGGGTCCAGAGTCTTTATGACCTGAAACACACACGCCTGGCGTTCAGGGAGACACGAGCAGGACTGTTCTCTCACTATACAGCACTATCTATCTGCAGTCTATACTGACGGTGCGAGCTTTCTCCACGTATCTCTTGTATCTGTCCTCCATCCGTCTCATGTCTTCATCCTTCTTCTTCAGGATCTCCTGCAGCTCGTCGATCTTCTTCGCCACAGACACACACACACACACACACACACACACACACACACACACACACACAGTGTATCACTCAGTATTGTGACAGCAGCTCAGATGTTTCTATAGGACTATTGTAAGAAGCAGTTGTGTAACATAATAAAAGCATGGTTTACTCTTCAAAAATCATTTTTTTGTCATACTGTAATGAACCGATACAAAGCTTCAAACACACTCCAGTCTGTTCAGACTCTCCTGATTCTGAATCATTTGAATGAATCAGTTCGTTCAGATGAATTGTTAATGAACTGGTTTAATTCAAAAAGCGCAAGACAAAAAAAAAATTGTTGTATTTCAGTCCAAGCCAATATATATATATATATATATATATTTTTTTTTAAAAGACCAAAAATACCTATTATTGGAATGTATTACTGAAATTAAAAATAAAGCTAAAAAGAAATATAAACACCACAGAAATATAACAAAATGACAAACTATGATAAAATTGGAAATTGAAATTATAATTAATATTGCAATATAAAAATATTATATTATGTTATAACAAATATAGAGAATATTTTTTATAATAAAAAAACTAAAAACAAACTACTTTATTTCACTCAGTTACCAAGGCAACATTTATAATTTTCATAATTTTTTAAGTACTAAAATTACTAAAACTAAAATTGAAAATAAATTAAAGCTAAACAGAAATATAAAAAACTAATAAAAATGACAAAAGCACATAAAATGACTAAAACTACAATAAAATTAGAAACTAAAAATAATTATTACATTATAAAAAAAAGTAAGTATAAGACAAAAAATGTGCACAAAGTTCAGTCAGTTACCAAGGCAACATTTTAGATTGCAACTGCATGTTAAACTGTATTTAAAACATTAAAGTTATATATTTAAAAACACAAAATCATATCAAATTACTAAAACTATGATATTGAAAACTTATATATACAGATTTTTCATCAATCTTAATTATCACAGTAATTTTTGATACTTTATCTGATGAGTAGCTTGCAGTTTGATGTGTTGTGTGTCTGTGAGCTAAATCAATAAAGATGTCATCAGAATGACCTTTGACCTGCGGCTGGTCGTGTGTGTGTGTGTGGACTCACTGTTACTGTCCACATGCGGCTCCAGATCATCAATCACCTCCCGTTTCCTCTGCAGGTCAGAATGAGCCTCATGGAGCTTCTCTCTGATCAAACACACACACAGCATTAACACAACATCTGATGAAGACGCTGGCTCAGAGAGGACAGACAGAGACACTCACAGATGCTCCTCCAGCTTCTTCTTCAACAGCGACGACTGTCAGGAAAGAGAAACAGAGCAGTGAGACGCTGACCGATCACACACCGTCAGTGATGATTCACAGCACATTAACAATCAGTGTCCAAACAGAAAGCAGACGGGCCGGTGGGCGGTACTTACAATGACCTGAGGCGGCAGATGATTGGTCGATTAGGAGAGGTGGGCGGATAAAAACAGACGAGCAGGCGTTAATTTCAGCACCGCAAACAAAACCGTTACAGATCTCACACATCAATCAACCAGAGACAGATAGAGACTCTTTAGAGGATACTGTGTGGTTTAACATCAGATCAGATGATCAGGTGAGTCATTAAATCAATCAATCAATCACAAACAGATGGAAATCACTCAAGCGCTGCTGTCTGAGGAGATACGCCACTCACTACACATTTACCATCCATTTCATAGGGATTTGACTGGAGCATTTTCTATCGGATATATGATATGAACCTCACAAAAACAGCTCAAACTTCACTCCAAAGTAAAAAGAAAACAATATTAATTAACAATTTTTTTTTTTTATATAATTGACAAAAAATTAAAAATGTAAACCTTTAAAATGTAGTCAGTTACCAAGGCAACATTTATAATTTCATTATTATTAAGCACTAAAATTACTTCAACTGAAATTAAAAATAAATTAAGGCTGATCAGAAACATAAAATACTAATAAAAATAACTATTTAAAAAAAAATATAAAACTGTATATATGCATAGTTTTAGTTCTTTAGTTTAGCCCAAATTTCACACCAAAATAAAAACCGGTTTTTAAAAAAGTTATTAAAAAGGTAAAAAAAAAAAAACATTAAAATTAGTGTAAATTACAATGATGGATACTTTACAAATAATATATTTTTTTAGTTTTAGTTGTTTTTAATTAATTGGTATTTTTTAATATCAATTCTAAAACTAAAAATGTGAATTATTAAAAAAAGTGTCATTATTAAAAAGGTAAAATAATTTAACCATAAAAACAAATGTAAATTGCAACCAATTGCCAAATTGCACTACAATGGTGTATAAATACTTCATAAATAATATATATTTTTCAACAATATATTTTTAATTAATTGTTAATGCTACTAATTTTGTTTTAACAGGACTTCCATTTGGATTTGACTGGATGTTAGTATGATATTATTAATATTATTCAGCTCCACCCACACTGACTTCCTTTTCTCATGTCAAATAATTTACGAGGTGGAGCAAGTTATTACATTCAGAAGAAAAATGATAAAGAATCATAATTCTTTAGACTAATGTCATTCATGAATCGTTCGCAATAAGAGCAGAGACCGATGAATTAAGGAGTCGATTCTGTCGGAAATGAGGTGGATCGTCCAGCAGACAGCAGCACTGAGTGTTTGTGGACTGAACGGAGAGATTTTAGCTCAGACACAGTCATGACGCGAGGAATCAGTTTTCAGTGAGTGTGTGTGTTACTGACGTCCTCGGTCTTGCTGTCCTGCTCCTGTAAAGCTCTCTGCAGTTCCTCCACCTGAGCGCTCAGCTCTGAGATCTGCTGCTGACTCAACCTGACACACACACAGACAGAGAAAGAGCACGTCACACTCCATACGCTGATGTATCTGACACACATCACACACACACACACACACACACACAGACCGGTTCTGCGTCTCGAGTGTGTTCTGGCTGCGCTGTGAATCCTCCAGCTGCGTCTGAAGCTCCTCCAGTCTGTGTCTGTACGACTCCTCCTGAACACACAGCGTCTTATTCTCCTGCTGCAGACGCACAACCGTGTCCCTGACACACACACACACACACACACACACAGAGAGAAAACACATTCACATGTCAGACTCATCTTATGTACACAGATAAGTGCCAAGGATCAAAAACTAATAAAAATGACAAAAGCACATAAAATGACTAAAACTACAATAAAATTAGAAACTAAAAATAATTATTACATTATAAAAAAAAGTAAGTATAAGACAAAAAATGTGCACAAAGTTCAGTCAGTTACCAAGGCAACATTTTAGATTGCAACTGCATGTTAAACTGTATTTAAAACATTAAAGTTATATATTTAAAAACACAAAATCATATCAAATTACTAAAACTATGATCAAATTTTCAATTATATAAACCAAAAACCATCTGTCCAAATATGTTCGGTTGTGGAAATTTTCGTGCATCACTACTAAATATTAATACAAAAAACTGCTCATTTATATAATGGAATAAAAACAGTATTATGTAGTTAAATTATTCTACGACAAAAGATAACGATTAAAAATGCAACACTGCCAGGCTTATTATAGTTAAAACTAAAACTATATTTACACTATTTAATATATATACACTATATACCTTTTTCCTGCTAATTGCCAAGTCAACATTACTCCTTTTAAATCAGTTTACTAAAATAACTACAACTAAAATAAAAATGAATAAAAATACACAGACATTTTTAAAACTAAATTAAAAAAAATGACAAAAACAACAAAATCACTAAAAAACCTAAAATAAAAATGAAAACTCTAAAAATAAACTCATTCAGAATATTAATTATCACTATAATACTATCTCAAAGATACTAAAATAAGATGGATGTTTGAGAAGTCTACTAGCACATTTTTTTTAAATATAAGAAGATTCTTAAATAATTAGTAAATAATGTAAATTAGCAAACAATTAAACAAACAAGCACTTTGAATTCAGCAGCATCACTATTTCTGATGTTTTAACACTGAGGGGGCAATTTCTGGCATCTTCATTTTGTGGATCTTGATCTGCTAGTACTCACACTGACGGTGTAAACTCGTGTGCTGACGTGAGCAGTGTAAGCAGCGTTCCTTCACCTGTCTCTTGTAGGTGTCGAGCTGCGAGCGGATGGCGTTCGCTCGGCGCAGCTCCTCCTCCAGCTCACAGGTGCGCTGCATGTAGACGTGGTTCCTCTCCTCCAGCAGACGCACCTGTCTGCGCAGATCGCCCAGATCCTCCAGCTTGCGTTTGTACGTCTCCACCATGGCCTCCAGTCGACTCACGCGGTCAGACGAGTGCCTGCAGCAGGAAACACCAGTGATGAACACAGAAAAGCGTGTCAAACAGCAGGCAGCGAGGCGTCTGGCGTCTCGGACCTGAGGATGTCCATCTCGTCTTTGAGGGACTGGGCCTCCTGAGCGAGGCTGGTGAGCTCCTCGTTCCTCAGCTGCAGATCCGTCACCTCTCGCTCCAGAACATCTGCTCGCACACGCAGGTCGTCTCGACTGCTGTCCAGCCTGAAACACACAACCAAACAAACATTATCAGGCTGGGAGATTTGGGTTGGATGTTGTAGTGAGTTTGACAACGTTTAACTTCTCATACCACTGATGCTTAGAAGATATCAAGGTTAAAAGAACAGAAAAGGACGCAGCAGCCTTTGCATGAGATTTCTTTCTGGTTCACATTACTGGTGATAAACTTTAAACAAGCCTATGGGTTCATTTTTCACATTCACATAATGCTCAAATTATAATTACTTATAAAATTACAACTATAATTGTCCATGTTTTTACACAGTACTGTAACAAAGCTAAAAAAAAAAAAAAATTACACAGAGGGAGGGGAGTCCTTTTTCTATTTGAAAATAATATATAGAAAATATATAATTATAATAAAGAAATAGTATGAATATATTATTTATATATTAAATGGAAATATAATATTGTTTTTGTGTGAATGGATATAACCAGAAAAGAAATGAATACTTTTTTGTAATTAATTACAATTATAATAGTATAGGAATATTAATATCATATATTAATGTAACAGTGCATAAATATAATACTATAATTCTTTTTGTATTTGTATGAATAGACGTATACAGAATTTAAGTAATAATGATTAATTATATT